CTCTCTCTCTCTCTCTCTCTCTCTCTCTCTCTCTCTCTCTCTCTCTCTCTCTCTCTCTCTCTCTCTCTCTCTCTCTCTCTGTGTGTGTGTGTCATGTGCCAGGTACTAACCTCTGAAGATGATGCCGTGCTGCACGTACCTCGAAGACGAAGCTATGGCGCTGCAGGTAAGTAAGTCTCCCTGGCCTCCGCCAAATTTCTCTCTCTCTCCAGTACTACTCTAGCTCCTAATAGTGCCCAGCGCTGAAGACTACTGCTAATGCTACTACTGCTACTGCAGCTGTGGCATACTGTGTAGCCACACGGGCCTGCAGGGCCTGTCCTGCAGTCTCAGCCTAAAAGCCTAGAAACAAGGGCTTACAGGCCCCGTGTCCGTGTCAACCTGACAGCCTGAAAACCAGGGCAAAGCCTAGAAACAAGGGCTTACAGGCCCCGTGTCCATGTCAACCTGACAGCCTGAAAACCAGGGCCTACAGGCCCCGTGGCTGTTTCAGCCTGACGGCCTGAAAACCAGGGCCTACAGGCCCCGTGGCTGTTTCAGCCTGACGGCCTGAAAACCAGGGCCTACAGGCCCCGTGCCTGTTTCAGCCTGACGGCCTGAAAACCAGGGCCTACAGGCCCCGTGGCTGTTTCAGCCTGACAGCCTGAAAACCAGGGCCTACAGGCCCTGTGTCATTTCAGCCTGACAGCCTGAAAACAAGGGTCTATAGCCCCTCAGGCTTTAGCCAGAAGCTACCTGGAAACTTCCGGAAGCTTCCTTAGGCTTTAGCCAGAAGCTACCTGGAAACTTCCTGGAAGCTTCCTCAGGGTCTAGCACATTTGGGCATTGGCAAGAGCAGCCTCCTGGACGGGCCAGCACTATATAAGACTGGCCCGCCCTACAGGCAAGGTAGTTGGACAGTAGGCACGAGTAGTCTTCAGGATTCGGCCGCAGCACTCAGGAGGAGCGCTGCAGGAGGTAGCTTAGCACTTACAGTAGTCTTCAGCGCTGGGCACTAGTAGCCATAGCAGTAGTCTTCAGCGCTGGGCGCTACTAGGTGGTAGTGGTAGTGTGGGAGAGAGATGGCTGGCGGAGGCCAGCGAGACTTACCTGTGGCGCCATAGCTCCAGCTCCATCTTCGAGGTTCCTGCATCAAGGCGCCAACTTCACAGGTTAGTACCGGACTGAGAGAGAGAGAGAGAGAGTGCTTCTTCTTCCTCTTCTAAGTCCACCATCTCTTCTTCCCCTCTCACCATCTGACTTCTCAGTATCAGCGGACTACTACAGAGAGAGAGAGAGTTGTGACTTGAGACTTGACGACATTGGATCCAGACATGACATTGGGATTCAGACATTTGACGAGGGACTATTTGGGCCTGTGCCGAAGACTTGGTGTTGACGACATTCCCATCTTACCCTCTTCTTCGTCTAACCCCCCTCTTCTTCGTCTGTGTATGGTTCGGGGCTGGCGCATTCTTCCTGTGTGAGCGCCAGACCGCTTCACACCATGGGGAGGATGANCGTCTAACCCCCCTCTTCTTCGTCTGTGTATGGTTCGGGGCTGGCGCATTCTTCCTGTGTGAGCGCCAGACCGCTTCACACCATGGGGAGGATGATGATGACGTATGTTCTGGGCTGCATTGCAATATTGATTGTTCGGATCATTGGTATCTAAGTTTTCCGTCTAACCCCCCTCTTCTTCGTCTGTGTATGGTTCGGGGCTGGCGCATTCTTCCTGTGTGAGCGCCAGACCCCTTCACGCCATGGGGAGGATGATGATGACGTATGTTCTGGGCTGCATCGCAATATTGATTGTTCGGATCATTGGTATCTAAGTTTTCCCCTGCGCTATCTTGTACTTTGTATTGAGAGGTCGGTTCTTGTTCTGGTCTGCACCATTACAGTATGAAACAGTTTGGTATCGGAGCGGACCTCTCATACAGAGGACCCGCTCAATCAAGTAGCCAGCTTGCTTGATCTATTGATTACTCGTTAGTAAATCAAGGACTTCGTCAAATCTCTGAATTTTTTTTCTCGCAACAACTATCTGAAAATTTCTGATATTCGCATTTCGTTTTACCTGAAAATTTCTGATATTGGTAGTTCGTTTTCACGTAACAAATATCTGAAAATTTCTGATAAATCGCATTTCATTTTGTCTGCAAATTCCTGATAGTTGCATTTCGTTTCTCTGATATTTCGCATACATAGCTGAAAATTTCTGATGTTAGTATTTCGTTTTCTAGGCATATTGGGATAACGATAGAAGTGGTCATATTCTCGGAAACCCGAATTATTATTTTCTGAAAATCGAATTTCCATTCTATCTCGCAAATTTTTTTTGAAAACCGAAATCTTGCGAAGCCTACCAACATTTCG